GTAACAAACGCTTCATATTCCCCAAAAATAGGTAATAGCCGTAATTGATATGAAAATCATCGATTATTGCATATTCTCTTCCTGAATCACCATCTTTGTATACCTAAGGTAGGATACTGTACTCTAAGAACCTGTGGTGAATTTATTAATTCTGATTCAATACGATGGTGTATATGATATATTGAATATGAAAACATTATATTTTATACCTATAAGCAATATAATATATATAGTAACTTAACATGTAATACTTTGCTACTACTTCTATCTAGTAACACACGCATACATATCTTCAATATACTATATATATGTTTTAACATTTCAGTGTTGCAAGGAAGAAATTTATATAACAACATTAAATATAGCAAAGTATTACTTGTTAAGTATTTACACATGCCAATCTCCATCTTCCTTTTTTCGATGCAACTTGTTGATAATTAGAATGAGGGTGATGGCGGGTTGAGAACAACTTGGTTCTTTCAAAAGATGATTCTGAGATTTCTTCAATACAAACAATGTCTCTACTACCACCGTCCATGATTTTCAGAGCAATATATTTTCTATTAAAATCGGCCCCTACACAGATATATTATATTGAAGCAGAAAGGGGATATACGTGAGAATCATGGAGAAATCACGAAGAAAGGGGATACGTGAGAATCAGAAACAAATATTTTATAGTAAGAGAGAATATCAAGGAGAGATTTTAGGAATTAAAAAGTTGTATATAATTTAATTAAAAATGTATGATTTTAAAATAAGTTGTACTAAAAATAATTTTGTTAAAGCCATCGTCCCGTAGTGAATGCAGTAGCAGTAGTTTTCATATTTCTGATGTAACAATGTTAAATAGTAACACTACTAAGGCATCTACCAGTACAACTAATGCCGTTACGCACCCCAGGGTAGGTTATGGTACATATTGTTCTTTTTGTAAGGCTGCCAATGAGCAGCCCCTCCATGTAAACCTTTTATAATTTTAATATAAAGTAGTCGTTTAAAACCAAAAAAAAAAAAAAAAAAAAAAAGATGTAGGAATGACTTGTGTCCGTATGCAAAAGAAAAAGGCTACAAGAAGCAAGAAAATCTTCAATATTTCTGCAATTTTCCCATGTACACAGTACTCCAATTTCATTTTTCTTTTGAGAACTTATTATTAGAGCAGAACTTTACAGTATATTTAACGGTAAAGCAGCATAGTGCAGACTTGCAGATTCCACAGCTTGAGGACTATTCATCCAAAAGTTGCAAGACCCTGAAACGGATAACAGAAAGGAAAGAAATAATTCTTCTAAAACATACATGCGGATAAAGAATGAGAGTGCTACAGCATGTGGCCTTAATTCCTAGTGTTCGACTTCTGCATTCAGTGGGTCACTATAAAAAAATAGAACGTCAAAAGAAAACCAGATAAATCTGCTTCCACTGTTTGAGTGATCTCAAGTGGGAGGTTGCCATGTTCCTGGTCTAAAGGATTCACCAGAACCGGTTGGCTCTGACGACCTGAAAATAAAAATGATCGATATAAGTTGTTGCAAATGATCTAAATTAATCCTGTTATCATTCATTCTATGTAGTGACAATTTAAATCTCAAAATTCCGAGGGATCTGGTGCTTGTTAGGTCCATCAAGAGAAGCGTAAATGAAAACAGCAGGCGGGAACAAGAACTTACAGTGGTTGTTGTTTGAGACGATAAGTCATATTTTTCTCGGCTTCAGTTTCTTTCGATCTAGCATGTCTACATTACACAATATGCAAGTTTTAAAGCAGCGAACACACTATCAAGTTCATAGAAAGCAAGATAAGTTATCCGAATGTACCTATTTCTCATTTACCCTCCACTTTTCTTTTATTTTTCCTTCTTATTTTTAATTAATAGTGACAAGAATGACAACCTAGTGGAAATAGCCCACAATAGATTATACTATTGCTGTGACTCACCTTACTTCTTTCTGTGTATCAGATGCTTCTGGGATTATATCACCTTCCAGAAATGAAGACCAATCAAAACAAAGTCAATAAATAATTAAGAGCATAAAACTGGAAAAAAACAATTAAAATGGGAAAAAGAGCATTGCTTGCATAACAAAAAGATATATCACTATATCAATTGGCGTCAAACCTTAGTCTCAGGTCTCAATCCAAAAAGAAGAAATAGAGAAAAAGAAAAAAAAAAGGAAAAACCATTCTGTTCGCACTAAAACACTCTAGTTTTAGTAGTTTTTGGCCATTTGGTCGCAATATAAGAAAGGCTTATAAGACTCATTGCAAGCGAGCGATCCCCCTCCCTCGAGGAACACATCACGTCTATATTACTCAATAAACACAATAAGTAATCATAAATGAACATATTACACATAATCATAACTGAGTTTTTTGTTGTTGGTGGTGGTGGTGTTGATTTAGTTGTCTAACTAGTTAAGAGGGTATTGTACAAAAGGAGGATAAACAATACAATAGGGTACATGGTATAATAAGGGATCCATTATTATTGATATCCTTGTCATAACCCCAGCGTTACAAAATTCCATGATATAATTTGAATGTATATACTCCTATCATAGTATTACACAGGTGCATCTTATTGGCAAACCAAACATCCTCTAACAAATTATATCACAAGGAAAAGGCAGCGAATCGAACAACCTCTAACATGTTATGCAACAGCATTTCATTTTTCCTCTCCTTAGACCAATAAGCTACTCTCAATTACCCTTCTTATTAAAAAAGGAGTCTGTTAAGCTACTTAAAAGTGATGCTTCATTCACACTACAGTCAAATGGGGCAGACATGCATGTGGATGGTACTCATGCAGTTTCTTCAAGACAACTAAATAGCAAAAACTGCACATACTACAGATGCTTGCACACATCCATAAGTGATACGTACACATTCAAATGCATGTCGCATTCAAGTTCTTTTCCAATTTAGAGGTGATGATATTTGCTATTGAAGGTCAGAAGGTTTTAACAAACTGAAGATCATTGGAGGAAAAGTTGAAGGAAAAAAAGGGGGGTTTGGGGGCTAAGAAGGACAAACATGGAGAATAAATTGGGAGAACGAAGAAGTTGTCTTTTTATGATAGGAGCTTGGTATCAACCTTGCAGATGGCTACACAACTACTTGTCCTCTGGCCAGCTTTGTGAACTTAGATTAAGTTACATGATCCATTACACATGCTTATTCTAGCTTAAGATTCACCATTGGGTTTGTTTTGTGACAAATGGCTGTTGGCTTTGTCTTTTGGAAATCCCATTCCCTAAAACATCTTTTGAGGCTTTCATACTGTGAAATTAATAGAATAGAATCGATTAATCATCTTCAGACGCTACTAAAAACTTTAACAGAGAAAACATAAGAATTTCCTAAAGGGAAGTGCAATTTGCAAAAAGGGAAATCGCACGGCCCGCTGTTTTTCTAGGAGAACTGGCTCTTTCAGGGGATCATCTTTTCTGCTCTTTGTTTTCAGAAATCAAAGAGGAGAAATCATTTTGCAACCATTTTTTTTGGTTTCTAAACCAAAAAGTTTTTCACTGCGAAACCAAGAAAAAGAAGTTTCCGCAAAACCAAACGGACCCTAGCTTTATAGGATAGGTGATACCTTCTGAAGCATCTGGAAATTGTTTAACGAAACTCTTTAAATCTGGACCATCGGCTTTACCTAGAGACAAGGTGAAGAGGTATAAACAATGTGCAGTTCATGTAGCAATCTTCCAGTTTCGAAGGATAGAGCAAAACCGTAGTAAGCGACTTACCAATGCTTGTGGCTTTACTCTTGCCTTCTTTGGCCTTTCTTTCCTCTTCTTCCTTCCTGAGACCTTAGAGCAACAAAAAAGAGAATATATAACAAGAATGGTGGTGGTCCTACTGACAGCCAACAAGATGATCACCAAATTGTGTCTCAAGTAAGCATGTAAGTTTGGAAAATCTCCAACTGAAACTAATAGCAAGATTAAACTCATAAGCAGCTACCAGAACAGAGCCGGGTTTAAATTAGGAAAGAAAAGTAAATCAAGATGACCCTGTAGTTTAAGCACATAGAGCTCTTTTGACTCCAGCCCAGGGTCAAATACAGGCCAAAAGCAGAAAATCATTTAAAAGTTCGTCCACCTAGCAGTTCAATGAAGTGTTCTTCCACCATCTCTTATAAACTTAAATGTTCTAGGAGATAGGAGTAAGTAAGAACGTAGAGCTGTTATTTCCAGAGTGGTTCCAACAAATCCTTGAACGAAGTAGAGGCATAAAGTTGGAATACTTACGAGCAACATTAAGCTTAATAAATTCCCTTCTGGCCTCCAATTCAGCCATCTCCTGGTAAAGAAAATATATAACCATCAAGACACAGTTCAGGAATCGACTTATGCTAAAATAAAAAAGCTTTTGAAGGACAAGACAATAAAAGGATAAAAGTGCTATTGCAAAACAAGGCGATTCATACAAAGAAAGAAGAAAAACAATGCAGGTTAAGGTTGATTACTGAATTATGGTATGAAATTGTGACAAGAAAGATCCAATTTTACCTCTGGAGTTGGAGCACTCTTCCGTTGTCCATTCAACCAACATATCCATTCAACTACAAGAATCGACAGTAACTGTTTAATGGCAGCAAATGTCGTGGTAGTGTAACTTGGAAAGTTAATAGCAGTAGCAGATTTTTTTCCTAATGATGTATTAACATGAGGGAGAAGGGTGTAATACTTGGACCAAAAACAAGGTCTAGAGCTAAATTGTGTTTCTCCAATAAGGCATACCTGGAATCGAGGTTGGATCATCTTCTCCTTTAAACGTCACCCATCTCTTTTCCTTCACTGAAAAAATATAATATTACCACATAAAGCACTTCACTGGATAACATCACCTGAACAAGCAAACTACAAACCATCCTAAATATAACTATTTGAAGCCTTGAAGACTTCGTAGAGTTATAAGTAACTAATTCTCAATTCCAATTTCCAAATGTTCCTCATGCAAAAAGAAAAGAAAAACTAATTTCTTTGACTTGGTTTAAGTGTGAATCATGAAAGCTTGCCTCTTGGCCAGTGGCGGAGCAAGAACCCTAACAATGGGATTCAAAAATGCAAGAATATTATACCTAGAAGCTTCCCTTATGTTAAGGGGATTCAACAGTTTATATATATACAAACCAAAAAAAAAATTACCCTAGTTGCACAGTCGGATTGGACGAAAGGAATTCAATTGAACGTCCTTCTTTACCTTTAGCTCTGGCACTGCTCTTGGCTAGATTCACCAATAGGGTATGAAATATTCAATTTCAAAATCTTGCAAAAAGTAGAGTATATTATCACATTAACTAAAAGGGATGTTTGTATACCTTACACCAGAATGCGTTCTTCCAAAATACAAAAATCATTAGTACCTCTACTCATTTTCTTTCGTTTAATAGGGCAATAGCGCCAAAGCATTAGATAATCAATTTTTCAAACAGCTAAATGATCAGAATTAGCCATAGTTGCAGTAACCAAAGCTAAGAAAGTTCAATATAAGAAAAAAAAATGTCTAGTAACATTTGCTGAACCCCATACAACTTTTGCTAGAACAATAAAATAATCAATGATGACGTAAGAGCTAGTTTCAAAAGTAAAAAAAAAAAAAGAAGGAGACCCACTTACTGATACCATCAAGCTCCTCTGTCCTCTTAAAATAGCGATTGCCCGCTTTGTCTGCTCCTACGAAATTTTTGCTGCTGAATAAACCCGCAAACCTCGCCCACAATCTCGACATTCCTCTTCACCAATATATTTTTTCTCAAATGGTTTCGTAGGATTCGACTATCCTATTTTGGAAATCTCACTAATCTTTCTTTAATTGGCTGCTGAATTAGCTTTGATCTGCACGAAGAAGCTAATACTCTAGATTTCGAGTTCGCGAAAGCTCTGTGCAAAAATGCCGGTCGCGGAACTTGGTAACGTGGGCTGGGCTCCTGACCAGAGTGGGGCGCAAAGGTGATAGAAACTTGGGCTGATTATATATTGGGCTATTGACGGGATAAGTGCACCAATAGCCATACATAATCTGCATTTGCAGGGTATTTAAAATACAGCCACAACTTAAAAGGAGTCGGTCGGTCCAGCTCGGTTCGGTTTGGTTGTGATTGTCATCGATTCGACATATCGGTTATTGATTTATAAATATACTAAATCAATAACTGAATCGATAAGATATCGATTATCGGGTATCAGTTAGTCAGTTATCGATTCTTATTGGTTCGCANTCACTGCACATTTCAACAAAAATATAAGCTACTAAATTAATAAATGCTTTATATATGGCTATATTATTTCACTTACAAGTCGTAATGTGATGACATTCCATGATGGACGTTTTCAGTTAGATGATGACTACCGGATGGGCCACTTGTAAAATTCATATCCGGCCGGTACCCCCTATTAAATAAATGAGCGTTAAAATTAATTCAATACGCCAAAAATATACATAATTAACACAAATGAAAATTGAAGTTTACCACTCTTCTTGTGAATTATGGAAAGCAGGGTATAAATTATTTTCTCGCTGCTCATTCGCCGACGGTGATAAATTTAAATCAAGAAAAAATCTTTCATCCGGAACATGTCCGGCAAAAACTGATCCAGAATAACCACCCGATGACTGGGGGTTATCTCTACTACGCACAACCTCATTTTTTGGAACGTCTTCGACCTTCACGTACATCTCCAACATTGTGATTACAAGAAATTCCCGGCATTCGTCCGGAGTCCTCAAGAAATCACTCAAAGTGTCATCATCGTCGATGTTAAACTCTGAGTAAAAAGCAACCCCTTGCGGCGTAACGGAATACGGATATCTTCCGGTTACTTTGAGTATCACTGAACGTTTTCTCACACTCATTTTTTTGCATAACAACGATATCAATGTTTCGTACTCCATTGAAAGTGGCAATTTAACATTACACTTAGCAGGTAAACTGTAGCCCACAGAGTTATTCTCCATCACAACCTCACCCCCCCAATATAATGATACTCTTATTCTACGTTCTTCAGACATAATGAAAAAATGCTGGAGAATTTAACAACAATAGAAACCAACAAGAGTTAAAAAAAATTTTTGAATGAAGTTGTGGCGATTCTACGATGTTTATATAGGAAATGGCTAGCCGGGGTTTTTTTTTTGTATATAGCGCCACAAAAAGTGGCTTTATACGCTTTTGAATTATTGAACCCAGAAATTATTGGTGGGGTCAGGTAATAAGGGGTATAGCGCCACTATTAGTGGCGCTATGTAAGATGTGTCAATTTTATTATATATAACGCCACAAAAAGTGGCACTATACAATAACGGTGCAGTTACCGTTACTGTATAGCGCCACTTTTTGTGACATTATATATGGTTTGGTAACTTTTTTTTAACACTTATTTACGTATTTTGAGTAAACAAAAACCACATTTTGGTTCCGGACTCCGGCCGACAAGTTGTGGTATTTGACAGCCGCCAACTCAAATTCTTTATCCCCAAAAGAAAGAAAAAGGTGACGCCGAGTAAATAAATTAATCATGAAAAACAGAGGAGTCGTGGAGGAAATGATTATAGCTTTTAATTTGCAGAATAGCCCAACGAATGAAACGAATGTTTTATTTGGACATAAATATAATTTTAAATTATTTTTTAAATTTTATCAGTAATTTGAGTGGAAATTTTAAAAAATAATTTTTTGGAGTTTTTTAAATTTTCGAAAATTTTCAAAATGCATCTTCAAGTAAAAGTTAAAATTTTTATGAACAAACATCAATTTTAGAAAGAAGTAAATTTTTTTAGGAAAAAGTAAAAAATTTGTTATGTCCAATCGGGCTCTAAGATTCTATTCTTTTCCACGAAGTAAACTGAGTGTTATTAAACGTGAAAGGTGCAAAATCCATGTTTGGCTTCATAATGACTAGAAATCAGGCAGGTACATTGAATGGCGGTTGTTCATCTTGTCTGCTTTCATTTACGGTAGAAGCTTCTTCTTCTATCGCTCTCAAAGGTTAAATCCGTGTCGTCTTTTGTCACTAATAATGATTAATTAACAATACCTCGTCCAAAATGTAATGGGATTGAGTCGATCCTATCCCCCTTAATCAAAAGTTTCATATACATAAGTTTTGTAATAAAGAAAAAATTGATTGGAAGTGCATTCTTTGTTTAACGGAGCTTAAGTTACGTATATTAATCGGAACTCCAATGCAATATCAGAAAATTGGCTGAAAAAAAAACTAACAATGTACTTTTTTCCCTCTCAACTTGGGAATTTTCAACCATGCGATGTCCATGAAATTCTTCTTCTTTGCTTTCTCTAATTATTTACAAATTACAAATTAAGATGACTCGATCTTTATCCTCATGTTGAACACATGCTTTACACTTTGGTCTTGTTTTACATTAGTAAAATTTGGACGCCCATGTTGACTTATTTAATTCATTTGTTTTTTACGATGATCAATTAAGACATATCGCATGTTTCTACGAACATTGTAATAATTTTACATTCTAAGATTAGTTAGTGAGTTTAACTTCTTTACGCGAATTATAAACTTATTTTACATCGTTAGGATAAAAAACTTGTTAACAACTTTTAATTTTCGATAGTAAACCCAATTTGGTAACTTAAGAAAAAGGTAAATAATTTATTATATCAAATTAAAATACACTAATATTGTAAAGTAATGCAAATGTTCAATGCGTGCAAATTAAATCCTTAATTAAATAAACAGGAGAAAAAGGAAAATGATCATTTGCAAAAGTCTAGATAGAGAACGTGCCATTTGGAATTTTCATTAATGTGCGTTCTTTAGCCTTTTTCTCGAAAAAAAGGCGGTCGACACATAGCTAAAATTTGGTTAATGTGATATTATCCCCACTAGCCGACATCATTATCACCTGAGCTTTCATGGAAGTAACCTTAATGGGCTTAATTAATAATTAATAGTAGTAACTTTTTATTAACAAGGATCGATGTGTGAAAAAAACAAAGTTTAACTAAACATGATAATGTAAATTATGTTAAAATTTTACACGTGCATTGCACTAAGGAGGAGCACTACTATATATTATGTTTTTCTATAAAAGAGCCTTATTTAAGGTTAAATAATTTCTGGCACACGAAGACAATTTAAGGAAACATTCACGAAAGGGGAGAGAGACTTAAACAGCTTTTTTCCCTAATATCATATAGTACAATCTATCATGTGATCACAGCCTAACTCTCCCTGCAAATTCACCGAGCAATTTTACGGTATTGTAAAATCACTAAGGGTCGTTTCATTTGAATAAAAGTTATACTGAAATTAATTATATTGAAGTTAGTTGTACTGTAATTAGTTCTTCTGATATTATTTTTTAATGACTATTTGGTGTATTATATTAATTCTGAGATTGTCAATTTTACTGTTTTATCCTGAGATTGCTATTTCATCCTCTAACAAATATAAAATTATCCCGGTATTATTTTTAATCTTGGAATAAATTATCTCAGAATTAATTACCAAACAACTCCCAAGTAATCACTTTTATCCTCCTGTTTCCAAAAACATTTTTAACATTCATCAGATTGTCAGTTTAAGTGAAATGAAATAGTTAACAGATTTCATATGGTGTCACTAACATTTCCTTATCAGAAAGTCAATCATTTGCTAAAGACAAAAAGTAAAAATACACATAGGTCAATTATTTAGGAAATCTCTTAGGTCCAAAATTTATAAGGTCTCTATCTCTCCTTTGATTGCTCAACAGTTCTCTCCTCTGTTACACTCTCTCTTCAGAGAATTTCACTCATCAACAAGAGCTATTCATAGGATTTTAAGGTAAAAAACAGTGGTGACGGCTCTGCTTTTTACTTGAACGATATTAATCGTTGGTCTTTCTTTGTTTTAATCTTTCTCTTCTCTGTGTTAATCTCAGGCCGGCTATAAATAATTTATCCTTTTGTTTTGCAGATAATACAATTTTCAAGATCTGAAGAAAGCTATCTGTTGCAAGTTTCAATTTTAGAGAGAGGTACATTCTACACTAATCTTTTTCTACACAGTTTAGTAAGGATATAACTGCATGACTTAACGATTCTATAAAGGGCCGCACCCAAATCGTCCCTGAACTTAGGACGATTGTATAGACTATCTTAAATCGAAACTTGTTCCTGATTTTCAGAACCATGCTAATAAATCTGGTCTTGTATATCTTTGTTAGACTGCTTTAACTCTAGGAATTTACTAGTATTTTAAGAAAGTATTAATCAACTTACTCATCATTTACCATAATGTCTGGCTCTATTGAGGGGCTGCAGGTACATAAATTGCCTATTTTGCATTTAGAAAGTTTCTAAAAAGTGCATCTTCACATATTTGGAATGATTATGACATGAGAATGTGTTTAAATGGATAAACATGTTTAGTGATGATTCATATAGCCGACCCAACTAGGGGCAGAGCTAGAGCTTCAATAACGGGTTCGGCGGAACTCATTAGTTTTAGTGCAAACCCTATATTTGTCTTAAGAAATTCATTGAATAACTACAAATTCTTACTTTAGAACCCAGTAACAAATCCCGAACCCAGTAACTTCAAATTCTGGCTCCGCCTCTGAACCCAACTTGTGTGGAATTGAGGTGTAGTTACTGTTGCATCTTCACATATTTATGTTCTTTGACTTGATTGAATTTTTGGGTTTTGCAGAAGATGTCATCATCATATGAAGGGAGGTATAATTTGTATAGCCAAGGTAGTAGTGGGTGGACATCAATGAGGAATGAAGAATTTCAAGAAGAAGACATTTGGAGTCATTTTACTAACGAAAGACGCGAAATTGACTCTAATTTCAGCAAAAGTAAAGAGTTATCTTCAAATTTCAGTCCAAGGAGGCTTCCCACTGCAGTCAAAATGATCCCAAGGTCAAACAAAAATTCCGGTCACGAACCTAAAATAGCTCAGCAATCAGCCCCAGTAAACATACCCAATTGGTCAAAAATTTATGGGACGAGCTCAAAACAAGCAGATGATTCTGGTGGTGGAGGATACAGTTTTGTGAGAAATAATTGCGAAAGCGATGATGAAGAAGATGATAATGATGGAGGAGAAACGATGCCTCCACATCAATGGCTTGCTAAAAAACATGAAAGGAGCCAAATAACTTCTTTTTCAGTGTGTGAAGGCATTGGAAGAACTTTAAAAGGCAGAGATTTGAGCAGGGTGAGAAATGCAATCTTAAGCAAAACAGGGTTCCTTGAATAGCATGAGCTTAAATAGGAGCAATAGGTACTGAGAATTCATATAGTTGATCCAAATTTGTTTAGAATTGAGCGTAATTTTTATTACTGTTGTATTATAGTCGTATAAATGATGTGGTGATGGTTGATAATCGTAAGGCATTAGCAGTAGGATTTGATTAGTAATGGAATTAACGTTGAAATTGCATTTTTGTCATTACAAGTATTAGGTCTACCAATATTACTGCCTCATCTCAATGGACTAGTGAAGTAAAGGAATTCACTATAAATGTAAATTTTCTGAGATACAACTCTATTTTACCTGTGTTAATATAATCACTACTGAAGAAGCAAGGAAATAAAAGGGAGGCATCACTCTGTACTGTGATTATCTTGTTGGATTAGTGGTATTGTTTGACCAAAAAATATTGAAACATTTTTTATTAAATCAATTAATGAAGATGAAGAGGTAAATCTTAGTCAAACATAATAAATTTCAGATCTATAAACAAATCAGAAAATGATACATAAGATGAAATAGGGGCGATCAATCTTATTAAGTTTTTCATTTCATCTCTCACCAATCGATGGAGATACCTCTTTCTTTTCTTCCCTGCTAAGAAGATTACAAAGGAGAGGAAAAAGAGAGAAAAAGCCCGCATTTTCTAGGAAGATTCCCTTCCTATATATAGTTATGGAATCCTTACTATGCTCTTGGGTCAATGCACTTTCATACCACGTCCGCTTTCGTCGTTCCCTGAGTATTGTTCTTTGACTTGGCGGGTATTGTGAGTACGGAATTTGAAACAAATCATGCCATCTTCCACTATCTCGCTGCTTGAACGGGATCTCGATTGGGTCAACCGCAACGATCAGATTTTGACCAATACAGCTATGAGCAGGAGATTAAGAGTTGTTTGTACATTCGAAATTCTTTAACTTCATACATTAACATTTTACCGTCGGTGAGATGCTCTTACATTGACATAAATGTCAGAACATGTACGGCAACAAGTTTCCATAATCTTTCATTCTTTCTCAAATTCCGTGCATAATCAAATATCGTCGTACAAAATGGATCGAGAAAAATAATACAAAAAAAATCAAGCATGTATTCTATCGGTGCATTTTTAACTTAGCAAAAAGTTACATTGTCAAAAGAGGCGTTTTCGTATATATATATCATATATGAAACTATATTATCAAATATGTTCATAATTTGCTTATTACCCTTCATGTTAATAGTATTTTTACCTAATATATACAATGCATTAAATAAGGAATTACTGTAGCTTTATGATTCCTTATTTTGCGCGCTAAAAAAGGGGAATTAAATATTTTTCAGATCTTCCCCAACGCAAATCACGCACGTTCCATAATTATCGTCGGCTTCACTTTGATCTTCCACAACGCAAAACAAGATTTTCCATACTCTATTTTTGCGATACACTCTGTTTTCAGAAATTCTCTCTACATCTCTCTCTATTTCTCAATCGCAAATTTCAGTAATACAAAGCAAATGAAAAGAAAGCAGCAATTCTACCATTGACAGCCATTAAAAAGCTTGAAAGCTTTGAATTCAAATTTGGGTCTTCAAAAATCCTTATTTGTTTGGATTGGGTGTTGTTGAAAATAATCGGAAATATGGTTTGGAGTTTATATCTCAATTTTGAGGGGTTTTGGTGAAGATTAGACTTGGTTTTGACTGAATTTCAAATTGAAACTCGAAGAAGAAGAAGACATATTGCAGAAATTGTAGATTATTTGTATTTTGATTGTAGATGCTTTATTTTCTATTTTCACAAATAAACTACAAATCTTCTGAAAAAACGCAATTATGCCAAAATCCCAATTATGCTATAATTGAATGAGAATTGGGATATAAAAATTCAATGTGCCCAGTTTGTAGATATTTTGTAGATAAATTGTAGATTATTTGTATTCTAATTGTAGATGCTTTGTTTTCTGTTTTCACAAATCCAAAACGACTAAAACTTCTACAAAACCTTCTGCAAAAAACGCAATTATATCGAAAATACCAATTAAGCTACAATTGAATGGGAATTGGGATATTAAAATTCAATGTACCCGCTTTGTAGATATTTTGTAGATAAATTGTAGATTATTTATATTCTGATTGAAGATGCTTTGTTTTCTGTTTTCACAAATCAAAAATGACTAAAAGTTCTACAAATCTTCTGCAAAAACCAGTCTACAATAAAGTATAAATGTAGTAATTATGTAGATACCCTTACAAATAATACTGCTTTATACATGCTTAAACTGATTTGTTGTATATTTGTAGAATTTTTGTGGAAAATATACCGAAAGATATGTTCTTTATATATCTAGCATATTCTCTGTTGCTAATTAATTCTGTTTTCATTTTATCTCTAACTGGAATGGTTCTGATGGATGTTTGAATTGGGAAATGTTAAGGTAAGATTTCCAGTTAATATTACCGAACATTCCCAAGAAATGCAGTGTTTATTCACCAAAAGTTGCTACTGATTTTCCATCACAACTAATAGCATCTTCTGAAATATATGGAAGAACCAAAAGCAATATTTTGGATTAGGCTTCAACGAGAAACTTATTGCATCGAAGAATGAATATTGGAGGAATCTGCATCCAAGAATGCCTGGATTAAGCACTTCAAATTCTGTTCTCATATAAACAAAGAAGAATTTTCAGATTCCTTTAATTAAGGAGTAAAACACGTACAATTAATTATACCCTTAATTAATTATGGTATAGAATTGATAATTTGATATACTAAGTGTAATTAAGTTAAACCTTAAACATTGAAGGTAATAAGGTTTACTATGTGGCATAGGAATGTAAAAATTCCTTGTCAAAATCCAGGATCCGTTACTGTTTAGGCCATGTTCTTTATTGCAGTGTGGGCATGAATATGATGTTCAAAGTGCAGAGTTTGGCGTCTGGGTCACCCATTTTTGGCCATTTTGATACTTTTGTAGTTTGTAGCTGTCATAAGCAGCTAGTGGCTAGTGGCATTTTTTTAATCTTTAAGAGAAAATTTAGTATACCTAATGTGATGATGTTAACACTATATTCTTCTTAATTCTATACTAAATTTTGGCTGTGAAACAATGGAAGAGTGATGATAGGTTATAATTGTGTATTTTAGTCGCTTATTATACTCTAAGTTACTGTACTTTAATTGAGTTTGAGCTTTAATCGCTAGTGTTTTGCACTAAATATGTGTTTTATGCCTTGTAGGAGTGATTCCGATATATGTAGGCGTTATGGAATGAATTCAAGTGATTTGGAGCTTTGAAGTCTGAGTAAAAGCCCAAGACATTAAACCGGGATCGTGTTCGGAGGTCGTGTTCCAAGTCCGGATGTTAAAAGAGGACGAAATAAGTTCACTCTGAGAAAATTACACTGCCGCGCCGCATGGGACGCCGCAAGGCGCGGCGCAGCAGTGTAAAATGCTGCCTGATGTAAATAGTTGAGGCTACTGATAAACTCCATTAGCGCGCCGCATGGCGCGGCGCAGGGTTCGGCGCGGCTGTACAAAATTTATAGAGCCAGAGTCCTATTTCGCACGGGAGAAGGTGTTTTCGTCTGGGCCCAACCCTACTTGGTATAAATACATATAAAAATATTATTTTGAGGACTTTTGACGGAGCTTAGCCTCGAGAGTCGCACTTTGGAGCAAAAATACACACAAGAACATCTCAGATTTCTTCATCATTTCTAGTATTTTCAATTATTCAAAACTTATGCAATTGTTTGATTACATCATGAGTGGCTAAACACCCATTGTTCTAGGGTTGTGATTTAGCCATGAATAATGTTGTTTAACGTTGACTTGACCTTGATTATAATTCACCAATATATGGTTGTTTCTTCAATTGTGTGTTTAATTGCTTAATTGTCTAGCTAGCAGTTACATTCTATTTACTATCTATGCTATGCTTGGGAAAGCCGTGTTTAGATTAAGGCTGTATTGTGGTCCGGGCCCGGCCCAGGACTGCGGGCCAAGCGGGCCGGTTCAAGCGGGCCCGGTCTCTAGTGGTGCATAAGCCCGTAGCGGACCGGTCCAACCCAAATAGCCCGTGAGCCCGGGACCGTTAAGCCCGGGACCGGCAGGTGGGCCTGGGCCAGTTCAACCGGGTCCAACGGGCCCCAACGACTATTTTTTTAATTTTTTTTTAAAATGACCAACGGTCAGATTTTTAAAATCTAGCCGTTGGCCATCAAAATTCAACCGTTTGGCACTTTAAAAAAAGCCATTTGGCCCCCAAACTTTGTTTTAACCCCAAACTTTTTATAATTTTACTTTTCCCAATTCTCAACTATAAATACCCCCCCTTTCTTTCATTTTTACTCACAAATTCATCAATCTCTCTCTAATTTTCTTCTATAATTGCTTACTTTATTATTGTAATTTCGTGAAAAATTGTGAAGTTGGTGAATTGAAGTATTCAAGTCTTCAACGATATTCAATTTTCAAGAAGTTGTTCGTCAATTCGGTAAACTCGTTCCAACTCTTATGTTTTAATATTATAGTTTTGTTAGTTTTATTTAGTATAATTATAATTAATATGGCATTTTCTTTGATTTTTTTTTGGGTGGTAACGGTAAGGGAAAATCTAAAATTGGTGAATTTAGTAGCCAAGCTACTACTCTTCCCCCGGCTCCCCGACCCAAACCTGTTACCCGTCCTCCTCCACCTGTTATTCTTGATAGTGATAACCCTTGTTTTTAATTTTCCGATAGTCAATTTTGCCATGATGTTTCACCAAGTCAATAATTAAATGAAGAAGTTATGAATGCTCTTTATCCTAATGAAGCTATCTTTGAAAATGATGATTTAGATGAAACACAACCGGATTTAGATGATACACCTACTAGTCCTATTAAT